CAGCTTTGAACATTCCTTGAATATGAAGGAACTGCTAAGGATCACAGAGATCTGAAGAAAGCCTCCAACAAGACCAAAATCAACAACAACAAAAAGTTTTAGAGGAACCAAAAACCATGCAAGAAATGAAAAAACTATAATTAATATCCTTGAAGAGATAACAGAAGATGCTGCACCCATGAAAAAAGTACAAGATTTTATAATACGGGAACAAAAAACAAAAGTTCATAAAACACTATTTTAAAAGAGAGCTAAAATTTAAAAACTTTGTCAAAAAAGGGTTGAAATCTTCCAGATTGTGGAAAAAAGACAACTTTTGGAGATCAAATTTCTCAACATCAATACTGGAAGCCAGGCAATATGGGAACACCTCCAAACTTTTGAGGGAAAATGACTTCCAATATAGAAATCTCTCAACAGCCCAACAGTCTAGCATGAGTGTAAAAATAAATTAAAAAAAAAACCTGTTTTTCCAATACACACGATCACAGTAATAATTGGGGAAACCAAAATGAAGGAATAAACCAAAAGAAGGCATAGGGTCCAGAAAAAAGGGACTCAGCAAAAGTGAAAGAAACTCCCAGAATGTCAGCTAAGGGAAGTCCCAAGATGACAGCTTTGCAGCAGGCCTAAAAAGAAAACAATCCAGACTAAAGCAGGAAGAAAGACAGCTACAGAAGAGATGACTACAGGAACAAATAGAACTGATAAGTTTATCTGACAGATTTGACCATGTGGAAAATTGTACTGAGAAGCATTTTATGCAGCTGCTGGAGGGTATAGAAAGACTTTGCCAGACAAAACTAAGCAAATGAAAAAACGAGGCATGAACAACAAAGATTATAAAAGAAAATGAAATCACAGTAAACTATTTCAGCAGTGACAAAGATATCAAAATGACGAAACCTCTGAGTATGAATTTTTTTTTAAGATTTTTATTATTTATTTTATTTGACAAATAGAAATCACAACTAGGCAGAGAGGCAGGCAGAGAGAGAGAAAGGAGGAAGCAGGCTCCCTGCCGAGCAGAGAGCCCAATGCGGGGCTTGATCCCAGAATCCTGGGATCATGACCTGAGCCAAAGGCAGAGGCTTTAACCCAATGAGCCACCCAGGCGCCCCTCTGAGTATGAATTTAACCTAAAATTGTGGAATTAACATTAGAAAGATAGGGAAAAGTCTATTTGAAAAGTCTTCCAATACCTATCCCTTTAAACCACTGACATTTACATACCTTAAATTATTCACTTCTAACAGGCTCTTAACTATACAGAACAAACCAAAGGCTCCCAGTGGGTGGGGGATGGGTTAAATAGGTGATGGGGTTTAAGGAGTGCACTTGTGATGAGCATCTGGTGATAGATGGAACTGTTGAAATCACCGTATGGTACAATGCATCTGAAACGAATATAACACCGTATACTAACTGGAATTAAAATAGAAACAAAAATAATTATTATTCAATTCTAAAAAAAGCCTCTATTTTCATTACAGTTAAATTCTGTAACTGTGTAGTTAAACATTCTGTGAAATGCCCTGGTTTTATCTTGGGATACTTCACAGGATCATCCTAAAGAAAAAAATAAGTTAATAAATGCAAAGCAAAAGCACTAACAAAAATAAGAAGATCTACACAAGTTTTATTGGTTACTGTAATCCTTATGGCACTTTTATCTAATAATATGTTTGTTCTGCTGTTTGCCATAACATAATTCTAAATGTCGAACACCTTCAGTACATGTCCACTATTACCTTCCACATTTACCAATTCAAAAATTTATTCAATCTTACAGAAAAATTGGCTGTGAACTCTTAAGTAGATTACCTCCCTAACCACTAAATCTGGTTATTTTCTCGTTTTAAAATCTAAAAAGTTTTGCACATTTTCTTTTTATAAAAAATAAATTTAACAAAAATTTAAAAAATAAAAATAAAAATAAAAAAATAGATTTAACTTTTACATGATGACTCAGACTATCATGGAAGTCAGCTACACTATGACTAGATGACCTCACAGGTTTTTGGTGTGTTAAGGCACAAACTCTTATGCTAAAAGGGCTTAGACTGCTATCCTTTTGTAATTCTGTTATCACTCTTAACTTTCAGATCTGTCAATGATCCTTACTCTATCTGGACTGATGCACTTTTTAATTTATTATGAGGTTAAAAAACAAATCATCACGTTTCTGACTCAAATGACGTTTACTAAATGGCCTGCCAACCCTTTTCATACACAGTTTCATTTACTACAAGTAATTCCTGTTAGGATAGTAGCCAATGTAAAAATTTAGGCAGTTCTCACTAAAGACAAACAAACAAACAAAAACACAAAACAAAACAAAACAAAACAAAATCCTACTACCATACAGGAACTCAACTGGTTAATGGAATTTGGAGCTTGATTTTTTGAATGTCTGTTTGCCTTTTGAGGGAAGGATCTACTTTCTTTGCTTAGGTGTCTTTATAGCTCACTTCCTGTTCTGATTCAGCTTGTTCAATCAGCCAGGGATGGGATAACTTCCATCACTGTGCTATCCATGAACTAAGTATCGAACTTCGAGCAACATTAGAAAGAATTATATATTTAAAACAAAAGACATTCACCGCGTAAGATTTTTTTTTTTTTTTAAGTTAAAGCTAAACCCAGGGTGGGGCTCGAACTCACTGACCCGAGATCAAGAGCTGCATGCTCCAGTGACTGAGGCAGCCAGATGCCCCAACCACTCACTAAGATTCTTACATAAAGCCCAGAGAAACAGACTGTATTACAAATTAGAATTTTCCTATTTGTAATTATGCTTATATTGAATTAATGTATATAATTTTCTATTTTAATAACACTGTTGCTGAAGAATTTTCTTAAATGATTAAAACAGAACCTCAATTTAGTTAAACCTGAACTTTAGGAGGTGAATACTTTTTTTTTTTTAAGATTTTATTTATTTATTTGACAGAGATCACTAGTAGGCAGAGAGGCAGGCAGAAAGGGGGAGGGGGAAGGCTCCCTGCTGAGCAGAGAGCCCGATGTGGGGCTCGATCCCAGAACCCTGGGATCACGACCTGAGCCGAAGGCAGAGGCTTTAACCCACTGAGCCACCCAGGCGCTCCTAGGAGGAGAATACTTCTTAAAATTTTCACCATTATCATTAAGACAATGAAAAATCCTTCTCTTTGATTTTTAGTTTTTCTTCAGTAAAATAGAAGCATTTCTCTCAAAAAAATGAAAATCTTACAATGGTGTTTGTATCTCGTCACTACTCAAAAAACCCTACAGAGGTCATGGAAAAACACGTTCCCCACATCCTAACGTAGAAGCTATCACTCCTCATATTAAGGCTTCGTAAGATAAGCTGCAGCCTTCGAAAGAAGGATTCTAAATGAAATTTTAAAAACTGGAGAAATCTCTCTTGAACAGCCATTTCACATTAAGGGCCATCTTTACGCTCCACATTTTAAGTCAGACTTGTGAAAGAATGCTTATTTCTTTTCAGCCACTCCTACCCTGACAATGTTACACCCCACATTCACTTCCTCATTCAAAGAACTTAGAAGAACAAATACACTGCTTACACATCACAAATAAGACTAATACCAAGCTGCAAACGCACAGACTTTCAGGCACTTTTAAGTTTTAAAGGTGAGCATTATGACAAAATAGCTTTAAAATAACTAACCACCTAAAATTCCAGACTAAAAGTAGTGTAAGTTCCATCCTCAAAACCACTTTCCTAGAAGCAAAACTCTAAAACTGAGAGAACTTTACCCTGTGCGGGAGTACCTGGAGGCTATGCTTAGTTGTCCAAGCTTTTCTACCTCAAACCAGCAGGGAAGAAGTAACCCTGCTAACTATATACTCCTGTGCAGCATTTTAAAAAATTGCAAAAACAGCCATTCTAATTCAAACATATAGAGAATTATTCACGATTTAAGCTACAGTTAGAACGGCAATACTAAAACTCCTTGACATGTCATTTTTCCTCAAAAACAAAAATACTCTCATAATACATTCTCAGTGTATATATTAAAGGTCATCACGTGCTTTAGGCTTTTGATCACATCAATATCTAATTTTCAACCACTCTCCATGTTGTACCACCGTCAGATCACCGTGTATCAATAACTAAATAAGTAGGACGATCTATTTTAAATAAATACTTTCTGCAAATTATACAGCTAGCCTACAGTTTAAAAGAGAACTGCCTAGCCCTGTCTGAAAAGGACGCTTATGAATTTGCCATTTTCTGATGCTAAAACATTTTGCAGTCACTTGATCTGGCCAAAAAACGTCAACGCTCCTGATTTTATAACTTGCTGCAGGAAAAAAGAATATGGCTGAAAATTCTTTCTGAAGGGTGGTGGTATTCCAAACAGGACCACTCAGAACACTTGAGAATACGAAACGGTGCGGAGGCTGCAGGACGGGTACCTTATGAAACAGCACACACACTTCGGGCCCTGCACTCTACCTCATTTCCCTAATAGGGATGAAAGCTCAGGCCTCTGGTAGCTTCCAGCTGACGCCAATGCTCTCCACACCCCCCTTTTTTTTTTTTTTTTTTTGACAGGATTTTCTGGTGTTGGAGCCTGTGTCACAAATACGAATTCTGTGATCACCTCTAAACCGTCTAATAATGAATCAAGCACCTTTTAGAAGACCAAGCCCTTGGCGATCCCATTTCCTCCCATCTCCCTCCGAAGCCCAGCACACCTACCGGATACTCTAGACCATATTCTATAAATCTTGCAGCGCATTAACTGGGAGATAGAAACAATATAAAAAATAAGAGTTTCGGCCATTCCCCTCGCTGTAACCGAAATTACAGGCTCCATTTCCTGTCCCCAAGGGGACTGCAAAATCGCCTGCTGAGAACGGGACGCCTCCCGCCCCCTCCAGGCTGGCGCCCGCGGCCCCCGCGCTCCCCCTGCCCGGGCCCCGCGGGCTCGAGGAGGCGGCGGGGACCCGGGGCGCCCTCCCCTCCCCCTCCCAGCTCCGGCACCCACCTCGCGGCAGCGGCTTCACCTCCCCGTTCTCCTCCCGGGCGGCCCCGCCGGCCTCGCCTGCCCCGCCGAGGCCGTGCCTCCTCCTTTCCTTCTCTCGCTTCTCCTTAGGTCGCCGCGGCTTGGCGTTGGCCGAGGAGGCGGCGGCCGGCAGCAAGAGATGGTGAGGCTGAGCGTGCAGCAGCGTAGGAGGGACCAGCAGTTTGCGCGGCACCGGCTGAGACGAGGAAGCGGAGGCTGAGGAAGGGACCGCGGAGCCAGCGGAAAAAGAGAAACTGCTCCGAGCAGAGGACGAGGAGGGGACAGCAGACAGCCCGGGAAAGCTCCAAGACGCGGGGCTGCCATAGCTCTGAGGCGAAGGTGCCGCCAGCGGCTGCAGCTGCCTGCTGTTCCCGCCGCTGCCCCCCTCTCCGTTCAGTCTCCGTGGCGCCTTCTTCTCCTCAGTCCGGACCTTCTTGGCCGACAGAGGACCCGGTGGGTCCCGGAAGGAGGGCTGCAATTTGCCAAACGGTTCTTTCTCCGAGGCGACAGCGGCTGCGGCGGCGGAAGCAGCGCCGTCCACTGGGCTCGGCGGGTCCGCCATTTTGCACTCCTGTTGTATTTACTCTCCTCCGCTCCCGGGCGCGGGGCAGGGGCGGGCCCTCAGCGAGGGGCGGGGGAGGGGTGGAGCGGCCCGGCCATCGGCAGAGCTCTCTATTGGGCGAGCCATGCTGAGGGATCCCTCTGGGAACCAACCAAAGGCGTCAATCTGGAGCCGAAGAGGCGGTATCGCCAAGCGGACCAGTTTTGGAGGTCAAAGCTCCGCGGGGCGCGGTTAGTGGCGGAGCGAGTTCTGAGGGGAGGGTCTTCCACTTGTCGCCAGCGTGAACTCTGGTGCCCCGGGAGTGTCCGGAATGAACCCCCAACTCCGGACCCTCAAGTCTGCCCCCACCCAGGCGCGCTCATCTGTGGTTCGACTTTTGCATGTATCACTTTCTCTTCCTTTTCTCCCCCCGGGGTCCTTTTGGTCCCTCCCCGTCTCTTCGCGCTCAGAAAGCCGAATTTCGCTGATGCTCAGTCAGAGGAGAAAATTTTATGCGGAATTCAGCCCTTCCTTCTGAAAGGCAACAGCCGTTGGACGGGAGGGACTAAAAATCACTTGGTGTCCTGACAAGATTTGTTACTGTTGCTAAGATCGTCAACTCTAAAGCTTTAAGGGAGATAACTTCCTGCAAACCCAGAATTTTCGGATTACTTCTAAACTTGAAGGTAAGATTCCCTGGAGAATTTTTCTTTTAAACTTTAGTGATATACTGTTAAAGATCTTAATTTTATTGCAATTATTGTAACAGACTTGCTGAGAAAAATCCATTGGCGATATTTATTGGTTTGAAAAGAAGGATTTTTTAAAGTGTAAAATAGTGGTTAGCGCCCTGAATGTTCGATGTTTTATAAGCGTGCATTTTCATTTCTAGTTTAGAAGATGAGGAATTGGGGGGCGGGGTGGGTTACAGTAACAGGTTGCAACCAAAGCAAGAAGCATGATTTTAATTCAACTCGGGTCTCACATAAGATTAACAAGTCAAAGAGATTGATGTAAAAATAAAAAGTAGACAAATAAGGAAATGAGCAGTAGGAGAATATTCTAAGTTCTAAAAGGAGTCCTATGTTTCCTGTAACTTTTTGGAAAACAATTAAAAAGTAACTCTCCGGGGCCCCTGGGTGGCTCAGTGGGTTAAAGCCTCTGCTTTCAGCTCAGGTCATGATCCCAGGATCCTGGGATTGAGCCCCGGGGTCGGACTCTCTGCTCAGCAGGGAGCCTGCTTTCCTTCCTCTCTCTCTACCTGCCTCTCTGCCTACTCATGATCTCTGTCAAATAAATTTAAAAAAAAAAAATTTTTTTTTTTAAAGTAACTGTCCAGGATTACCAATTCTTGTGACCTCAGGATGTTGGAATTTTTTGTTTTCCCTTTTTTGTTTGTTTAGGTTACTTTGGAGTCAAAATTTAACAATAGACTTTTTTTTAGGTGCCTCAAATTTTTAAAGGAATGAAAGTATTTACCTTTAATACATACCGATGAAAAGTGAAAACTTTGTGGTTGGAATTGACAGTCAGCATGTGTCTTCATGAAAAGTAGCATTGTTGGAAGAGTGGACAGAGGATGGGGCTGGAAATCACTGCCTAGTAACCAGCTTTGTAACCTCAGTCACAGTGTTTCATCTGTCGGAACCTCTGTTTTATTTTAATAAATTCAGTTACATGATCACTAAGGTCTCTTACATGCTCTTAACTTCTGCCATATCCAAGGAGCTTTTCAGAATCACAATGAAACCATTAGAATTAAAATAGCCTCTTAATTGTTGACCTTCCAGATACATAAATGTGTCTCATATATGTTAATATAGTACCTGGAAACTTGCACCATTTATTTTCTCATCTCTCACATAGAAGCCTGGAAAATCCAATTTGGTAAGGCCCCAGCTAAAGTGTACTCTCATCCTTATGAATTTGTTTCTGCTTGCACTATATATAGTCTTTTATACTGTTAAACACCCTTATCAGTCCTAACCCTAAATTTGCAGAGCCTGGGCAAGAGTATGGTTTGGAGGCTCACATACCATGTGTCTAAATATTTAAGTTATAAATCAAGATAACAAACTACTATAAAATTATTTAAAAAAATGTATTTTGGGGCACCTGTTGGGCTCAGTCAGTGGAGCATGTGACTCTTGATCTCGAGGTTGTGAGTTTGAGTTCCACATTGGGTGCAGAGATTACTTAAAAGAAAAAATTGGGGGGCACCTGGGTGGGTCAGTGGGTTAAGCCTCTGCCTTCGGCTCAGGTCATGGTCTCAGGGTCTTGGGATCCAGCCACGCATCCCATTCTCTGCTCAGCAGGGAGCCTGCTTCCTCCTCTCTCTCTCCCTGCCTCTCTGCCTATTGATCTCTGTCCAATAAATAAATAAAATCTTAAAAAAAAAAAAAAATCTTAAAAAAATTTGAAAATGTATTCTGCTCTACCACCTTGACTGAAATAATGATCTGGAAGGCCAGGTTTAAATTTATAATTCTCAGACTTTTAGTGTTCTTAGCCAGTCCCTGTTCTCTTCCTATTCCCAGCTTCTTCACCCACCACGCCAGAAGGGACCATGCGTGTATGCACCTAACACGTCCAAGCTTATGTCCACTCCCCTTCTTGCAAATACTGATGTGTAATCAGCAGCTCTCCGCCCTCTGATCTAGGCAGACTTGTCCCCTTGATCTCATAGACTTCTTGCTCTTTGCAATAAGAGGAAGATCCTTCCAGGTCTGAGGGCAATTCATTTATCGGTTATCAGTGCTTGATGATCTGTTTTCTCTCCTGAGTAATCAGCCATCCCCTTTCAATTAGGTCAATCCTCATGACTTTGAACTAGGAGAGAATTCCCACCACTATCACCAATTCCTGTTGGCTTCATCTCTGCTACCACGAAAACCATCCACTTTTCTCCATGCCCATTGTTGGCACCCTATTCAAAGTACTATCTCTTCTCCCCAGGATGACTACACTGGCCTTTTTTGCCATTTCTTTATATTCTTGTTTTCTCAAATCTGTTCTCCATTCTACCCAGAATGCTCTTTTTAAACACCTTAAATTTGATCGTATCACTTCCCTAGCTTCAGACATGCCAATGATCATATCACTTCCCTTGCTTCAGACATGCCAGTGGCTTTCCTTGCTCTTAGAATAAAGTACAAATCCTTAATATGACCTACTTGACGCATCATGAACTAGTCTCTTCTTCTGTATCAAGGTGAAAGTTCTTTAGTGTCTAGATTGCACTGTGCTATCTTTCAGCGCAAGAATATTGCCTATGTTGGGATGCCTGGGTGGCTCAGTGGGTTAAGTGGCTGCCTTCCACTGAGTTCATGATCCCAGCGTCCTGGGATCGAGCCCCGCATCAGGCTCCCTGCTTAGCAGAGCACCTGCTTCTCCCTCAACCTCTGTCTGGTGCTCTGCCTACTTGTGCTCTCCTCTCTGTCAAATAAATAAATAAAATCTTAGGAAAAAAAAAAAAAAGAAGAATATTGCATGGATTGTTTCCACTGCCTGGAATGCTTTTTACCTGATGCTTATATGATGGTTTGCATAATGGAGGCAGATACCATGAATGCCTCCTATATTTCTAACCCGCATGCCTTAATGGACAGTCATACCATTCACTGCACTAGGAAACATTGGGGAAGAGTGACAAGTTTGGGCTACTCCTTGACCTTGGACCTGATGAACATGAGGTGCCTATGAGAAATCACATCCTTTGGATCTCAGCTCAAGCCAGGTCTCAGTTGTTTAGAAAAGCCTACCTTTTCTTACCCATCAAGACTAGATTCATATCTTATCTGTTCCTGCTCTCTTTATCCCCATTTCTTTTGCTTTTGGTTGTTGTTGTCAACTCACTGATAATCTCTGCCTTTCCATTCCCTTTTCAATAATGACAGCTCTTTTGGAAACATACTACTGTATATTCTGCTTCTCAATCTTGTTTGAAACTCTGAGGACAGTCTGTACATTTGAAAGTTGTTCTCACTAAGCTGGGGATCACTTCCCCAATTCTACATCACTGAATTTCAAGTTATTATTACTCTTTCAATATCATGCCAAAAGCCCTCCCTTCTATCAGATTTTTGTAGTATGGCTGTACCATCCTCCACCAACTTCCTGGTGATTTTGCCACACTTAATGAAGACTTTGATACTTTTTTCATGTTCATCCCCTCTACTCTTCTGCCAGCATTTTAACCTCAGTGTCCATGCTAATGAGCTTTGCAATATTCTTGCCTCTGTTTCTTCTTGGAGTTGAATTTCCATTCCATTTCAGTCACAAATTGCAGTGGACCTTCCTTGATCCTTTTCATTGCCCTTCCATCTCTGAAATCCTAAACTACAATGTTTTAATATTCAGGGTCCTTACTCCTCTATACCATGCCCTTGTCCTTTGACCTAAGGAGAACTCCAGACGCTAGATCTTTCTTTTTCACCTAATTATGATTGCCAAATAAAATATAGGACTCCCAGTTAAATTTGAATATCATATAAACAATGAATAAATTTTTAGTATGAGTCCCGTACAGTATTTGGGACATATTTATGCTAAAATATCTATTTACATTTATATATTTATGTATATAAATATATATATATATATATATATTCTTTGTTTATCTGAAATTCAAATTTAGGGGCTCAGTTGGTTAAGCATCTGCCTTCAGCTCAGGTCGTGATCCTTGGGGTCCTGGGCTCAAGCCCTGGGTGGGGCTCCCTGCTCAGCAGAGAGCCTGCTTCTCCCTTTCCCTCTGTCCCTTCCCCCCCTCCCCGCCCCCACTTTGTGCTTTCTCTCTCAAATAAATAAAATCTTTAAAAAAAAAGAAAGAAAGAAATTCAAATTTAACCGGGTGTCCCTTCTTAATTTTCTCAACATATCTGACAGCCCTACACTAATCTATCCTTTCTGCACTTTATTCACTATCGGACCTAGAGCCTATGGTATGTAACTGGTACCAAATACTTGCTAGTGCCGCAGTTCCTCACACTGTGATTTTCTTCACCTCTATGCTCCTGGTAACCCCTCTACCTGCTCTTCATATCCAGGCTCCTGAGCATTGCTGCCTTTTTTCCATTTAAGTGTTGGTGATTCTTAGGTGTATGTCACTGCTCTTGATCTCACTTTGCACACTTCTGTGTGATATTATGCATCACAGTGTCTTCTGATAGCTCATAAATGCTGACTCTTCCCACATTCCCTCCTGCTTTAACCTTGCACCTGATTACTGACTCTTTTCCAGATGCCAGGTGGATGTAACCACAGGCACCTCAGTTCATGCCACCCATGCCCATCCTCCCGTGTGTCATCTGCTACATTCCTTATCATTCAACCTACAAACTGGGAATCTTCTTTGACTTCTTTTTTTCCCACATCCTCCACATTCAATTAGTTACTATCTCTAGTCAGTTTCTCTTCATTCTTGCGGCTGCTTCTTGCCTTCAGGCCTCAGGTCGCTTGAGCTTTGTCGATGATTTCCTTACTCACTGGTCTCTCTGCCTTCAGTCTTCCATCTTCTGAACTGTCCTCCATGCTGCTACCAGAATTGTATTTCTAAAATGTAAACCTGACTAAGCTTCAGTCTCTTCAGTAGTTCCCTTTTTCATATGGAATAAAAGTCACTTTTTGGTGTAGATATAAGCCATTCTTGATATATAACCCCAGCACTCCTATCTTTCTTACTCTCCTACAGCTTCCGTCTCTTTCATCCATTCTGAACCATTGTAATTCCCAAAAGAGTTGTACTCTGTGTAGCTGTGTGCATTCTCTGTTCTCTGTCTGGAATATAATACTAAAGTCTACTTAACCTTCAAGATTTAGTTCAAAAATCTCCCTTGTGTGGTGCTCCTGACTTCTCAATCAAAATCTAGTCATGCCTTTGTGCCATCATCATTCTGCATAGGATCATTTAACACGTTGGTCTCTGCTTCTAGCCTGTGAGCTCCTCTACAGCAGGGATAATACTGTGTTTATATTTATGTGCACCATATTTGGTATATGGTCACTGCTCAATAAATGTATGTTGAAAAGAAGTATATAAAGTGCAGGTTTGTAATCCTTACAGTAAAACGGGGACCCACAGTTACAAATTTGAATGCCAAATGGTCTTGAAAGGCTAAAAAGTAATAAAAATAAGGCAGGATAAATGTAATAATAGAAAGTGGTGATGACTGGAAAACTGGGAATACTTGCTTTACCTACAAGATACATTTGCTTCTCAGCTCTAGCTGATTGTTCTATATGAAAATGAAGTGGACCAGCCTGCTAACTATCTAGATTTTTTTAATGGAAGTTTCCTAAGAAGCTGTGTAAGCCAAACAAAACTTATCTGTGGGTCATGTAACCCAGTCTGACTTCTGATCTAGAAAACAATAGCTTAGTTTGGGTCAGGTGCCTTTTGAGGGTTTTGTTCGTTTGTTAGTCCACAACCCTACCTTTGTCAGTTGCTGGAATAGATGCTAAGTAAATAAAAATGGTCCTTGAGCAACACAGTCGTCAACTCCATTGGTCCACTCATATGTGGATTTTTTTCCATAAATACGGTGAAGTACTATAAATGTATTTTCTCTATCTTATGATTTTCTTCATAACAGTTTCTTTTTTCTAGCTTACTTTTTTATAAGAATACAATATATAATACATACAATATACAAAGTATGTGTTAGTTGACTGTTAGCGTTAAAGGCTTCTAGTCAACAGTAGACTATTAGTAGTTAAGTTTGGGGGGAGTCAAAGGTTGTATGCAGATTTTTGACTGCATTGTTCGGGGGTCGACTTATACTCAGACTTCCATCCATAATAAATGTTTGTTAGCAGTGTTTTGAGCTGACCTCTACAAGTCTTAGAATCTGCTTTCTCTAAACATGATGGTGTCCAATATTCCTGAGCTGAACTACATTTTCACTCTGTTTCACTCTACAGGTATACTATCCCCTGGCCTTGTCCATGTTCCTGACACCCTTGGATAAAGGTCCTTGTGCTCTATAAAACCCTGTATGAACCTTAAAGACATCTCTTTTACCCATCTGGTTCAGACATCTCAAAGTCCTGCCTCTATCACATTGACCG